TTGCCTAGGACTGGGTAGGAATGGTGACTCTGGCTGCAGAGCCAGGCAGCCTTCCGGCTCAGGAGAGAAGAGGAAGGAGAGGGTCCACACAGCTTGCAGCAGCAGGGTCAGGCTGACACCCCCAGGGTCGGGGGTAGTCAGGACACTGCTCCTTGTGGTGCTGAGCCTGGGGAACCTTGGTTCACCACCCCCAATTCTCATGGCTCAAAGCTGGCTCAACAGGGCCCTGAGACAGGAGCACCTATGGCTCTGACTGGTGACTCTTTTCTCGCAGGATCCCTTGGGCTGGGTCTCGGTGCCCCGCTCCTCTCCCTGGTGCTGCTGTCAGCTGGCAGCCTCATGATGGCCTCAGGGACCTGGCTCTGCCCACAAGGAACTCAGAGGTAGAGGGGGAAGGCAGACAGTGTAACACTCAGCTCAGGACTTCCAGAACACAGGGCCTGTGGGCATCTGAGAAGGGAGGGCCCTCATGCTCCAGGGGGATGAATGAAAGGGGTTAGAGGAGAGGATCACACTGGGTGCTGAAAGATGAATAGGAGTTCAACAGGTATTTTAGGCAAATGGAACAGAGCCATGAAAAGGCACAGATCTGTGACAGCTGGAGAGTTCCAGAAACTGTTCAGTGCTCCCGTGGCGCTCCCAAGGGGCTGAGCTCTGGAGCTGGCAGTTTCCCTCTGGATCTGCCCTTCGACGTTCTGCACTTGGACTGTCCCCACAGCTGGACGGGAAGTCCTGGGCAGTCCCCATGTACCCAGGCAGCTGGCCATGGCACGGGGTTCCCTGCTCCACCCCTGACCTCTCCCTGCACTGAGATCCTGCCTTGTCTTCAGGGAGGCCCTGTCTGCGCATCCACCACCCGCCCGCACATCCATGTATGTTTCGCCTCAGCTCTCAGTAGGGCAGCGCAGGGTTGGGCTCTGCCACCAGTTGACAGTGTCACCTTGGGCAAGACCCAGGCCTGCCTGGCCTGCTTCCCTTTATGGAGCCTGAGGACATTCATAAATGCAATTTCCAGGGACCCTCTAGGTAGCTGGGTCTCCCACCGTACAGAAAGCCAAAGTGAGGTGGAGGTGGTGCCCACAGGAGGCCATTTGGGAAGGGATCTCAGGTGCAAAAAAGAGCACGGGCTTGGGGTCAGAGGGCCCTGGGCACGGCTCCCTGCCCTCAGGGCAGCAGTTTCCTCTGCTGGACAGTGGGGTCATGGACACCCTGTCAGGAGCTGTGAGCACCAGCTGCACTCAGAAAAAAGTCACGGCCACGCCTGGCATACAGCGGTGCAGCCAGCACACGCAGTCTGCACGGCCACGCCTGGCATACAGCGGTGCAGCCAGCACACGCAGTCTGCACGGCCACGCCTGGCATACAGCGGTGCAGCCAGCACACGCAGTCTGCACGCCACGCCTGGCATACAGCGGTGCAGCCAGCACACGCAGTCTGCACGGCCACGCCTGGCATACAGCGGTGCAGCCAGCACACGCAGTCTGCACGGCATCTGGAGGTGAAGCCGTTTTCTCCACGATGGCTTTGGATCTGGCATCTCAGATTTTCTAGGAGAGGATGAAGGTGAACACTCAGCCCCAGGAAGGTGGGTGGAGGGAAGAGACCACACTCCTTTTTCATTCCTGCTCCACATTTTCTAAATTTAGCTTTCTTATTTTAAAACTGCAAACAGTGAACTCCCTGACACCTTGCCGAGGATCAAAGTCAGTCTTTAAGAATGTTCTTTGGAAGAAAGTGTTTGGAAAAAGAAACAGATAAAAGCATGGTGCACACCTGCCATTCTTCCCAATAAAATGACCTAAAAAGGGAAGGGGCTGGCAGCCAGCTGGCACCCACAGCGGCCTGTGTTGAGAAATCAAACCCGCAGAGGGTGGAGCTAGGAAACCACCACACTGGGTTTTCTGCGAAGCCCTGGGTGGCCCCGCGGCCCCAGAAGGTTCAGAGCTTTGGGTTGGTTCAAGGCCACCAGCTTGGAAAACAAATGGACTTCAGGTGCACAGAAGTGGAAGGCGTTTGTCCCAAGTGAAGTTGGGTGACAATCTGCAAAGTTCTTTCCTTTGCCTCGTCTCTCTTCATCCCCACAGGCCCACTTTACAGATGAGAAAACAAGGCTCAGATAAGCAAGGCCCCTGCAAAGGTCTCAGACCAGCAGGAAATGGCCCTGGGACATGAACTGGTCTCCTGGCTCCGAGTCCCACAGGTGGCAGGCAGTGATGTGTGCCCAGCACAGGAGCGGGGCCAGGAGCCCAGGTAGACAGGAGGCCTTTCAGCAGCTGTATCCCAGCCCTCGGAAGCCTGACGCAGTGTCATCTGTGACTGATGCTCACGCTAAATCAGTGGCAACATGAACATACAATGGTAGGGAACAATCACCAAATGCTGCGACGAAATTCTCAATCACAAAATCATCATCAGGAAGGTGGAAAACCACTGGGGTTTGCACTGGGTCAGGAAGCAGAGCATCCAGACTCCAAGGTCTGGGGCTGGCAGTGAGGTGTGGGGATGGGAAAGGCAAATGAGAAACGGCCTGAGAAGCCCAGGCCTCCCTCCACCCCGACCACTGCAGCTTTCCCTCCCCAGTGTGTCTGGGTTCATTCGCACAGCATCCATTCATTCCACAAACACGTGCTGAGGCCTGCTCAGGCCTGGAGCTGGGGAGACACACCCTCATGAAAATACTTGTAGGAGGGTCCTGCACTTGGGGAGGAGACCACTTTCCCTGCTACAAATCACAGTTCCCACCACACCTGCCCAAGGAACCTGGGTGTGGAGCATGGGTGTGACAGAAGTCAACCAATCTGAGTCCTTCCCTGGACTCGTCCAGTGGGAATGAATGAGGGCGGCAGCCCCAGTTGGTGGCTTCTGCCGTTAGATCGAACCTGGACAAGGCCAATGCCCAGAGAGTGACAGGGACAGCAAGGGTAGGAACAAGGGCCCACCACCCCATGGTCCACTGTGGCAAGGTCTGAGAAGGGAGCCACATCCGCCCTTTCCCCTAAACTGGCTCAGCTCCTGCGTCAAGTGGTCAGCCTGACACTAAGTCCCAGCACCACTTCCTGAGCGCCTATGACACACGGGCCCTACCAGGAAACACACAGACACAGTCTCATGATCCCCACGCGATGGACGTTACGTGTTCTTGTTTCACAGAAAGAGAAACTGAGGCACTGGGAGCTAGGCAGCTTGCCCAAAGTCACACAGCAATGAAGGACACCGACAGGCCCACGTCCTGTCACCGGGCCACACCTGCAGTCACTTGTGGAAGGCCCACTCTGTGCCAGGGTCAGGCACCAGCAGGGAGCAGGAACCCCAGCCTGGGGCATGTGCTCCACTGCAAATGCAGGTGGAGGGCATCAGCGGGGCTGGGGGCTCTGTGGGGAAAGGGGGCTGTGGATGAGGGGAGCTTTCATGAAGATACCATCCAAGCAAGCACTGAGGGAAGGAGGCTGGGAGAGGGGGATGGTGGGCCCAAAGGCCCTGAGGCACCATCAGCCTGCTGGGTGGGGGTGATGGGATGGGCCCCACAGGTCACAGGAGCTCCCCTCTCAGAGCAGGAGGAGAAAGGGCAAACGCCAGAGGCGTGACAAGAGGGAGGCCCCAGCAGCCACATGGGGCAGAGGGCAGAGACTACCCATCTCCCACACCAGACTCAGCACCACCACCCCCAACCGCCTTGCTCAGGCCAGTGGCAATCTTCACTTTCGCCAGTGACCAAGCTCGCCGGGCACAGGATGCAACTCTTTTCACCAACACAGCCGTTCTTGAGCCTAAAAGAAATATACAGAAGGTGCTCCCACTGTGGGTCATGAGGACGCTGCCCCCACATGGGCCAGGGGATCCCACTCACCCTGTCCTCAGGGCACAGTAGGGGGACACTGGGGCCATGCCCTCAGCACCCCCAGTGCTCAGCTCCAGCTTCCTCTCCAACAGACAGGCACACAGTAGGTGCTGTAGACCCGGATGCCTGCCATGTGTCAGGCTCTGCAGTGACTGTCGGGCAGGAGGGTTCAGCCCTCAGAAGCCCCACCTCGGGGCCTTTGCACAGCTCCTCCCTCGTCTGGGATACTCCTCCAGAGGAGCCCAGGGATCCCAAGGACCCCCTGGACACACTGACACACAGATCTCCACCCACCGGCTCCAGGCCAGCTTCAGCCCCCTCCTAGGACACTCCCAACAGACTTGACCTTCTCTGACCCTAGCTGTGAGCCTGCAGGCTGGTTCTTCCGATGCCCCACTTTACAGATGCGGAGATGAACCTGGGAGAGGGGTGGTGCCTTGCCTTGCCTCTGCTATGGCGACAGTGGAGCGGGGACAGAATCAGGGGGAGGGGAAGCCAAGTGCCCACCTCTTCCTGCATCCCCCACTGCTCTGGTCCATGGGCGGCCTCTTCACATTCTCTGCCTTTCTCCACTGACTCCCCTGCCAGGGACACCATCTTCACCAAGTTGAGGTCTGCCTCCTCCAGGAAGCCTTCCAAGGTACCCGTGGGCCCCACCTTCACCTGTCAGCAGATCCCTGGGCTCCTGGAGTGGCTCCTCAGTTACAATTCTATTGGGGTTTCCATCTAGTCAGCCTGTGCAGGCACCTGGGGAGCCAGGCCTCCTCCCAGCCCAGCTCCTCCAGGCTCCTCAAGGGTCCCTCCCTCACTTCTCCACGAGGCTCCCTCAGCAGGTGAGCACACCTGCGTGTGCAGCACGCACACTGGTGGGGCAAGAGGCGGCCCAAGGGGCCCAGGGCTTGGGCCAACCAGGGGCCCAGCTGGCCACAGTCCTGGGGAGTGCAAGCGGCTGGGGCCTGTGAGGCTGGTGGGGCACTGAGCTCCAACAGAATCCCTGAGGGCAGACCAAAGACCCAGACTACCCCCACTTCAGGACTCCCTTGCTGGGACCCCCAGAGCGGGATGATCCCATCTCAAGCTCGCACAGTTCTCTCTGTCTCCAGAGCTCCAGCAGGCCTGGGAGGAAGGAGGTGAGAAGAAGCCGCTAATGCAAACTTATTGCTGAAAACACTTAACAAATAGCAAAACACACGTTTATTAGGCATCGCCGGCCGCCTGCCAGGCACTTTCACTATTGTAGTCCTCACACTCCTGAGGCAAACAGACTTTTGTCCCCACTTTACAGATGAGGAAACTGAGGCTCAGAGGGTGGTACCCAGGACCCACAGCCAACCTCTGTGCTCATTCCTCTCATACACCCTTGAGGAAGAGGGGAGTCCCAGAGCCCAGCTGGCAATGGGAAGGTTCAGTGACACAAAGCTCAGTGCCAGATCTTCATGTCCCCTCCCCAGGAGCAGGTGGCGAGGACAGAGGGCAGCACGGGGTGGTATGTGGTGCCGACACAGGCCTGCGTGTGCCCCTGCAGTGTGCATGCCCGGCTGGCCGTGCGGAAGCTGTACATCATGACCCGGCCATCGGCGCTGCCCGTCACCAGCAGGTCACCGCCTGGGGAGCACTCACAGCCCACTGAGTAGCCCTCCACCTGCAGAGAGGGACACAGCGGGTGAGTAGGCTGCACCTGTCAAGCTGGGGTGAGTACGCCCATTCTACAGAGGAACAGGCCGAAGCCCCGAGCTGACAGAGCAGAGCTGGGCTTCATACCCCATTCCCTGAGGCCAAAGCCCAAGTCCCACCCATGAGGCTGTAGAGCCCTAATGCGGGCTCACATGCCAAGGCCAGTTCAGCAAATCCAGGGAGATCAGCTCCAGCCCAGCTGAGGGGTCTGGCCTCAGGGACAGTCACCCAGCCCCCAGCCCCTTTCACCCCATCAAGGCTGGCCTCACTGCGGAAAGGGGAGGGTGCAGAAATGACACCCATGACCATTCTGTCCTGTTCCCGCCACCCACCTCTGAGACCTGTCTGTGTGAGCCAACTACTGCTTCCTGCCCAGTACCTGGGCCCTGGGGTGAGGACCAGATGTGGCTCAGGGACTTGAAGAGATAGCAGGCCACATGGCATGCACTCACCCAGGAAACAGAAAGCAGGATCCGCCCAGACAGAAGCTCCATGCACCCCGGGGCCCATATCCAGGACTGCCAGGAGGCTTGGGGCTGGGGCTCAGCATTCGCCTGGGAGACAAGGACAGAAGTACCTTGTGCCCTTCATAGCGCCGCCGTCTGCTCATCCGGTAGGGCCACACAGTGGAGAAAAGGGCCAGGTAGTTGCCATTGGTCTGTGCCAGGAACACGGGCTCTCTCGGGTGTAAGGCGAGGCTGGGGCAGGTGAACCTCTCCTGAGAAAAGCAGAGCCACAAATGGGTCGGAGAAGACACCCCCTACCCGGCACTCTGCTCTGAGGGGAAGCTCAGCTCCAGCTTCCCCTCCCACAGACAGGCACACAGTAGGTGCTGTAGACCTGGGGCCTGCTTCCAGACCCTTGCTGGGTGTCTCCATTGGTTTCCTATCGCCGCCATGACAAATCGCCACAAGCTTGGTGGCTGAAGACACACACATTTTACATCACACAGTTCTGCAAGTCAGAAGTCTGAAAGCGGCTTCACTGGGCTGAACTCAAGATGTTGGCGGGGCTGCACTTCTTTCTGGAGGCTAGAGGGGACCCAAATTTCCTCCATGTTTCCCAGCTTCTACAACCTGCCTGTGTCCCTGTGGCAGGCAGGAAAAAGCCCCCCAAAATATACCCATGTTCTAATTCCTGAAACCTGTGAATGTTACCTTACAGGGTCAAAACCAAGGGTCTCTGCAGACATAATTAAGGATTCTGAGATAAGGAGATGATCCTATGTCACGCTACATGCAGTCGCGTGCAGCCTTACAGAAAGGAAGCCAAGGCTGGGAGTGGTGGCTCACCCCTGTATCCCAGCACTTTGGGATGCTGAGACGGGCGGATCTCTTGAGCCCAGGAGTTCAACACCAGCCTGGGCAACACAGCAAAACCCCCATCTCTACAAAAGAAAAAAAAAAAAAAAGAAACAAAGGGAAGGTGCAGAGATGTGACACACAGTGAAGGTGGTGTGAAGACGCTGGCTTGGAGGGCTGGAGAAATGCAGACACAAGCCAGGAATGCCGGCTGTCACCAAAAGCCAGAAGAGGCCAGGAGGGATTCTCCCCTTGACACTCCAGAGGGAGCACACCCTGCCAACAACTTGATTTCAGCCCAATCAAACTTAATGTTGATTACGAACTTCAGGCCTCCAGAACTGTGAGGGAATAAGTTTGTGTTCTTCCAGCCACCAAGTTTGTGTAATTTGTCACACAAGGATAGAAAAGGAATCTACATGCCCATCTCGCCACCTCCACAGTGAGTCCTCAGGGACAGCCCAGCCCAGCCCAGCCCAGGGACCCACACAGCCAAAACGCACAGTAAGTGAGGAGGTAAGTGGCCAAATGAGAAAAGAAATGCAAGCACAAACCTCAAAACACAGGGGCACGAGATCTCACTGCTTCATTGACATGGTCCTACAGAAAGCACCCCTAAACTGCCCCCTCAAGGTGGCTTTACATTGTTCTAACTATTCTCCTTAGGCCACACTCTCTAAGAGAGCCCAAACTCAGAGGGCAAAGTGGGGAGCAGCAGGAAGCACAGCTGCAGGCTGATGTGCCCATCAGAGGCACAGAGGCTGCCACGGTCAGACAACGAGCTGCCGGTGTGATGGTGCCAGGCTGAGCACCTGTTCCCTCCGCACAGACAGCGTGCAGTGTAACTACAGTTCAGGCACAAGGCACCTTCATCTGCCTCACTTCCCCTGGGCTCCCGGAGGCAGGACACCCTCAGAGGTCCAATGTGCCCCTCTAGCTCCCCACCAGGGCCTGTCCTGCCCAGTGGGTTGCCCTGGGACACCCTGCAGTGGACGTCTAGAAGCAGGTTTGCTCAGGGCCACTTAGAACCCATTGAGAACAAGGAAAAGGCAGGGAGGAAAAGAAGGTGTATACAGGATAGATATTTCATGTATACCCACATATATCATATACATGACATAAAGTTTTAAATTCGGAGATTAGTCATGGATTAGTTGAAATCTCAAAAGATGATGATGATGATGATGGCGGTATTAGTGGTGATGATGATGGTAGCGGTGGTGGTGGTGATGATGGTATAACAGAGATGGTAGTGGTGACAATCATGGTGGTGACAGTGTGACAGAGGTAATGGTGGTGGTGGTGCTAGACATGCTGGTGACAGTGGTGGTGATAGAGATAGTGTGGTGTTGGTGTTGGTGGTGGTACTGATAAGAGATGGTAGTGGTGACAAAGATGTGGTGTAATGGCAGTGATCGTGGTGGCAGTGATACAATTGGTGGTAGTGACAGAGATGGTGGTGGTGATAGAGTGGTGGTGATGGTGGTGGTGCAGCAACAGAGATGCTGGTGACAGTGAAGGTGACAGAGATGGCAGTGGGGATGATGGTGATGGCGGTGGTGATAGAAATGGTGTGGTGGTGAGAACGAGAGTGGTGATGGTGACAGTGATGATGATGGTGGTACGGGAGATAAAGAGGATAGTGGTGATGGTGGTGGCGGTGATGATGGTGGTGATGGTGGTGGGTATACACATGGTGATGCTGATGCTGATGGTGGCAGTGCTAGTGATAACAGTGGTGGCAGTGATGGTGGTGGTGTGGTGGTGACAATGATGGTGATGAGTATAGAGATGGTGATGGTGATGCTGATGGTGCTGGTGATAATGGTGGTGACAGTGATGACAGGAGTGGTGGTGGTGACAATGATGACAGTGGTGGTGGGTATAGAGACAGTGATGCTGATGGTGATACTGTTGATGGTGGCAGTGATGACACTGGTGGTGGGTATAGAGACAGTGATGCTGATGGTGCTGGTGATAATGGTGGTGGTAATGATGGTGGTGATGACAGGAGTGGTGGTAGTGACAATGATGACGGTGGTGGTGGTGGGTATACAGACAGTGATGCTGATGATGGTACTGGTGGTGACGATGATGGTGGCAGTGATGACACTGGTGGTGGCAGTGATGTTGATGGTGGTGGTGGTAATGACAGTTAAAGTACAGAAGCACTCCCTGTGCCTGGCACTGTGCTATACCCTTTACAAGCATTCTCTCTCTCTCTTAATTCTCAAAACTATTTTCTCATAAAAAAGTGAGAATTAAAGAGGCTAAATAGCAGGTCCAGGGCTCTCTGCCTTAGAAGGTCCTAGTGAATCCAGAACCTTAATGCAGGTGTTCTAACTGTGGGGCCCCTGCTCTGAACTCCTGGGCTACATCACCTGCCAATGCCACTGAGGGCCAGAAATCCCTTCTGAGTAGCTGGTTGTGGTGGCAGTGGGAGGGTGGGGTTTCTCAGGTTGCACTGCCACGTTCCCCATTGATCTGGACTGAACTGCCCCCTGCCCCGACCCTTACACTGTGGGGTGGCCGTGCTAGCACAAGAATAGCAGAAGGAGATTGCATCTGGAAGCCCACAGCAAGCTCTCCATGTGTGCGGTAGGCTGAGACCTGCCTACTCCCCTCCTGGAGATTTCAGTCAAGTGAGTCTCCTCCCACAGAAGGGACCTGGGACCTCAGATAGATCAGAACTACACGGATACACTCTGTGGCTGAAACTGACAGCAATGCCAAGTGGGATTTCTTACGTGAAAAATCTGGTTGGAGATTTTGGCAGAGGTCCGGAAATCCCAGGCAATAATGGTGCGGTCAGCTGAGTCACGGGTGGAAGCATCTGTGCTGCTCAGGAACTCGGAGCCTTCCCGGAGGAACAGGATGTCCAAGGTCTGCTGGATGGTCGCCTTGTAGCTTCTCATCACCTGCAAGAGTGGACACCAGTCATGCTGGCAGGCCTGGGAGCACGGACAAGCTCCTGCCCAGGGAAGGCCAAGGACTCAGCGGGCAGGCGGGTTTAGTGAAGTCTATGCTGGGTCACACACCGCCAGGCTGAGCAGCATCCTCAAGCCATATGTGGAATCATGGACCCTCCCGCCCCACGCCCAGGCTAGTGTCTGTCAACTTCTCAGCCCCCCTGCTCTATTGCCACATGGGCCCAGAAAGGCATTCCTACCACCCCTTGAGAGCAGCAGGATCCCAGGGAAAGTGCTAAGGGAAGGGCCCTTCACTCGCCAAGGGCGCCTTGAGAGCATATTGACATCCATCAACACTGGGGTCATGTTTTGAGTGGGTCTTGCTTCTGAAGATGTCACATAATTCACAGCTTGCAAAGTCCCAGATTGTTGTCCCTGGAGGAGCCATAGTAATGCAGGAACAAGTGTGCTTAGGGACAGACCATAAAGCCAGAATCACAGGCCATATTTTAGCTGTAACGACACTTTGTATTGTTTTAGCATCATCACCGATACTTCACAGTCTCCTGTCTCATAAACTGACTTTATTAAGTATCGAGCAGTTGTTTTTCCTTTCTTAGAGGATTTTATCACATTCAGCCTCTGCTCTCAAATATCCAGCTCTGGTGGGGGGATGGAGAAGGGTCCCAGTACCAGGACTAGCAAGTAGCTCCACTTAACAAACTCACAGAGCACAGGACTTTAATTACAATATAGAAGTAACATGCTGGGCACCCACTCACCACCACGGAAGCACAGCAAGGTCTCAAGTTGGTCAGAGGGGCCAGCCGGTCCCTTTACCAGTTCCTGGGGCGCCACCATGTGGCTGCAGCATAAACAGTTTAGTCCCTGGGCCCCACCAGCTCAAAATGAGCCATCTTGACTTTTTAATTGGAGTTCACACCTTTCAAATTTTGCAGACATATTTTCTATCATCCTCCTTAAAATGTATATGCCAAATTCACATTAAATGTGGCACTCCATAATTTCAGTTTAGGTTAGAGGAGGAGGAGGTTGAGACCCATTCTCTGGATGAGGTTCACTGAGGCCCAGAAAGAGGTAGGGATGTGCTCAAGGTCACATGGCCGGGGCATGGTGGAGCCTCTTCCGCCCCCCACGGCTTCCCTGGGACCCACAGTTCATTCTCCTGCTGGTCAATTCCTGCCTCCTGCCTCTGTAATTCCTCGGGGAGGGTGGGCAGCAGATGACTGTTCTTCTCTGAGCCTCTTCCAAAGCAACCCTCAACTAAGGAGATTTCAGAGAGGGCCCCTTGAAGCCTAAACAATGATCCAGGGGTGGAAAAAACAGTTTTCTGAATGCAGGACAGGGAGACAAGCTGCCCCTCACGGCACAGCTGCCTGCCTTCCTCCGCGCACTGCATTCTGCATGCCCGTGCCTGCTCTATCCTCCCACGTGGCCTTAATACCACCGCCCCCACCAGCCTCAACACTTCGATCTCTAAGAGGCGGACCCAGGGAAAGAATGAGGAAGATGACGGCCCTCCCTGCCACTCACTGAGTGCCCGTTAGGTGCTGGCCCCTGGCTGGGGGGTTCACATAAGTTATCTCATGACAAGAGCCCCACAGGTAGCTTCTCTCGATGGGCATGAAGTCTCAGAGACAGGCAACTTGCCCAGGAGCCAAGAACCACCTGCATGCCCCTGCCAATGCACCACCTGCCTCCCAAGACAAAGTTTTTGAGGAGAACCAAAACAGTTGTTCCGTACATTTTCTGAGAATGGATGGAAATGGCCCAATTCATTAGAGTGTCATAAAAGTGAATGGCTGGGAAACAAGCCGTGTTATGGGCGATCCCTGCCAATAATGTGGCTGCAAGTGGAAGGCTGGCCTTTGAAGTGATCGCCGCCGAACATGATTTACTCGCCTTCACAACTGCTCGTGCCCCAGGAAAGAGCAAAGGGGCCATTTGTGTGTCTAGCTGGTGGGTTTTATGGCAACCTTAATTACACCAACAGCTGGCATGGGACGGTGCTACCCGAGCCTAACGAGCTGGATCCAAAAGGGAGCCTCGCTCAGACTCTTCTGGCAACTGCGGGCCCCTGGTGGAGAAGCAGGGACATGGTCTTAGCGAAAGCAAAAGATCGATCATGACACATGCAGGGGTTATGTCCCTACAATCTGCCCACTACTTGGCCTGCCAGCAAACCTGGGTGACGCTGGGCTGCTGCCGACTCATCCAGAGCAATCTTGGGTTCCTGCCACTTCCAGGGTGCACAGGGTTGGGGATGGTCACTGGGCTCCAATCTTGGCCCACTAAGATTCACTATGTGCCTGGGGAAGGTTCATTCCCTCCCTGGGCCTAGTTTTTGAGTCATCAACACGAGGGGCCCGACCGCACCTCTGAGCCTCTAAGTACTCCTGGTCCTCAGAAAGGACTGGCGGATGCACCCAGCTATCCCTCACCCCATGCTGCCAGTCCTCTGCATGCAGATCTGAAGGACAGGAGGTGGGGAGGCATTGCTCTGGGCTCACACGCAGCCCTGTGCTCCTTTAGCTGCCCACCTCAGCCACCTGCCTAAGCCACAGGACTGTGAGCTCCTGGCACAGATGCCCTGCTGCCCACATTTCTGGGTCATCCTTGGCTAGCATGGGGTCTGCCCCCTGCAGGCATCAGTAAGGTGTGTCAAATTGATGCTGGATAAGTGAGTGGATGCATAAATGAATGAGTGAATGAACAAAAGGTCAACTACTTTAAAAGAAGCAATCCAGGGTCCTCTGGCTCCCAGCAACATCCTAGCACGCAGGGCTAAGGCAACACACAAAAGCCTTTGCCACTGGCTCTCCCAGGACCCCCAGGTGAGATGGCATTCACTCACAGGTCCTTCCCATGGCCCTGACTGAGCCAGCCCCTGCCCTACCCCTCAGACTTGGAGACAAAGGAAAGCTGCTCCAAGACCTTGGTGGGAGGTGGGGCACAGCTGGACTGTGCTCCATGCTGCAGCCTCACAAGAGCCAAGAGCCCAGAGGTGGGTGGGGCCTCTCCTGGCCCTTGGATGAGCAGGGGTGAGATGCCAAGTGGGAGGGTCCAAGTACTTAGGCAGACACCCTGGGGACCTGAGCCTGGCAGCCTATTACCGGCTGCATCACTGGGGCAAGTAACTTCCGTCTCTGTTCTTCAGTCTCTATACCTGTAAAGTAGGGGTAACAACAGGACCACCAGCTGAGGAAGTAAGGGTGATGTGCCCAGCTAAATGCCCAACACATATGAGCCTGATGCTTGTAAACCTTCTCCTCCCCAGCCAGCCAGAGCTAGAGTCCCTAGGAGAGAGCTGTGAGTTCTTGGGCAACTCTCAATAATAGATGTATTGTCTTCTTCTAGTGCCAAGATGCAAGGCAAAGTGGAAAGGTAGCACAGGGCCCACTGCTTTGGTTTAAACTCGCAAAAGCAGAAGCTGCCAATCACACAGGATGGTGGCTATCAAAAGCAATTGACATTTACATTCAACAAAGTAAACCATAACTATGAGGAAAAACATGATTCAATTTCTCTACAACCTGGGGCTAGGGAAAACTTTCCCAGCTATGACTCCAAAGCCAGAAGCAGTAAGAGAAAAGTTGAATAAATTGGACTATATAAAAACAATAATAATTTTTAAAAAAAAATACTTTGGGATGGCAGAAAGCAAGCAAGTAAATAAATAAATAATAAATAAGGAAAGCAAAAAAGACAAGTAGGAGAAATATTTACCACTTCTATTACAGGCAAAGGTCACTATCTGTAATATACAGATGGTCCCTAAAAATAGACGAAAAAGACCAATAGCTCTACAGAAAAACAGGCAAGTAAACAGAGCTCAGAAAAAAGGAAATGGTCCTTCCACTTTGCTCATAACAAAAGCAATGCAAATTTAAATCACATAGAGATACCATTACTTGCCTATCAAATTAACAAAATCCAAAAGTTTTGCAACACCCTTGTTATGTGGCTCTGGGGGTGTTAGGTATCTACATATGGCTGCCAGAAATGCAAATGGTACAAGCCCTGTGCAGAAAGGATTTACACAACTTTGAGCAAAATAACATATGCATCGTTACTCGGCAATACGCATGACCCAGCAACCCCACTTTTAAGAACTAATCCTAAACACACTGGCAAAATCCCAAAGAGATATAAGCACAATGCCACTGAAAGCAGCACTATTTGTAAAAATAAAAAACAGGGGACAACCCAATGTTCATCAAGAAAGGACTGGCTGAATAAATTTCAGTACACTAATACTCTGGACCACTATGCTGTTGTAAAAAAGAATGAGGAACATATCCTGCTATGGAGTGATCTCCAGGACACATTGTTCAGTAAAAAAAAATCCAAAGTGGGAGAAAAAAAAGTGTGTAAAGTAAGAAGAGGTGATATGAACATGTGTGTGTGTTTGCTTCCACTAAGAAGCAATAAGAAGACAAATGAGAAACTAAAATAAGTAAATAAATATGATTGCCTTAAGAGGAAGGGAGGGGAGCAGCCTGGGGGAGACAGAGTTAGAAGTGGAACATGGATGATTTCTCGAAATGCACCTTGTTTTGCAGATTTGACTCTAGAATTCTGTAAAGAGCCAGTCAGAAAATATTTTGGGTTTTGTAGGCCATATATAGTCACTGTTATATATACTTCTCTTTCTCTCTCTCTCTCTCTCTCTGTATGTGTGTGTGTGTCTGTGTGTTTGTTGGAGCTAGTTAAAAATGTAAAAACCATTCTCAGCTCAAAGACCATATAAAAACAGGTCACAGGCCAGATAAGGCCCATCAACCATAGTTTGCCAATCCTTTCTCTGGACCCACGTACACATTTTATTAAATTATGCAACAAAATTAACTTAAAAAGCAATCTCTAAAATGTGAAAGCAAAATTAGGCAAACAAAATTAACCACGTATTGATTTGGTAGCTTAACTGCACAAATAAGATTTCTTTTAAAAGACCTGAAGCACAGTAATTTAATGGTTAAATTAAATGG